TCAATGCTTCTTTCTCATTTCAGCTACTTTTTTTTTTCTTTTTGTCTGTTAGCAAACGACATATGAAAAAGTTCGTTGTTAATTGTTGATATGTCTTGTTGGTTGTCATTGCTGTCGCTGTTATTCAACTAATTAACGTGTCAAGTTGAAAACAAAGCGTTATATAAAAAAATGTTGATGTCTAAGTTATTATTTGATAGTTTATCGTCAACGCAGAATGCCAGTACTTCCACACTGGAAATTGACGTATTTCAATGGACGAGGACGAGCTGAAACCATACGTTTGCTGTTTGCACAGGCAGCTGTCCCGTATGACGATATACGTATTGAACGTGAACAATGGCCAGCAATGAAAGATGGTAATACATTATATTTTCCAATGTTTCATAAGTATCAACAAAACCCTCTCCCCCCCAATCAACGAAAAAAAAAAATTTATTTTTTATATATGATAAAAATTAAATTACACATAATCGTCAATAAAATATTTACAACTTTGTTTAAACTTTTTTTTTAATTCGTTTTTTGCAATCCACTGTTGAACTTAATTTTTACCGTTTTACAAATTATTGCCTTTGACACTGATAAAAGTTGTTGTGGTTGTCAGCAAGTTACAGGAAAAAAATTTTTTTTCTTTCTATCTAATCTATAATTAGCATTACTTGTTTTACACGAATAATTGGAAGATTGTAGAGAAGACGATGTTGTTGGAGTACTGATGACGGCTTAGAAGAAATGACGATAAGTTGATGACATTGCTGGCAAAAATAAAAAATTTTTGATTGAAGTTTTTTTTTTTCTTTTCTTAATAGCTTAGCCTATTAAGATCTTTTTTCGTTCTGCTTTTTTTTTTTCGTCTATTTTTGAATCTGTGTTTGCAAAAAAATGTCATCTGTAGATTAGAGCTTTATTTGAGTGCACAGCAAGAAGCCCTGCAGACAACAGAACAGCAACCAAAACCTATCATCAATTCAATTGCATCTAGGTTTTGCCTTAGATTTAGAAGCAAAAGGTTTTTCGGTTTTAAAAGAAAATAAAAGAGAACTATCTATTTTTTTTATTGTTTTATATTTGTTAGCAACATGGAGTCAAACTTTTATTTACTTATTTTTTTTTTTTTTTTTTTTTTTTTTTTTTTT